CTCCCAGGGCCCTTTGTGGGACAGATGCTCGCTTTATAAATACAGCGAAGCATCTCAGGGTGAAAAATCGTCATTCAGGAAACAAGGAAGGGAAAAGGTGTCTCTGTTAACGGGCAGCCGGCTTACCTCTTCTGCAAGGCACAGAATCTCTGCTTAGCGATCGTGGTGCGCGTGAAGGCTGACAACAGCGAGGGGAGCTCACCATCACGTGTCTAATTAGCCGCAGGGAGCTGACGTTGCTACTGTGCTCTGCTCGGCTCTGGGAGCGCTCCCCACTCTGTGTGCGTGTCTGGGCTCAGCTGGGGGCTCTGGTTTACATGGGCAAAGTATTTTAAACGAAGGCACAAGCTCATCGTATGGCTGTGGCAAGGAAGAGACTGGTGCTGGTGGAGTGGACCTGGGGACACGATGGCAAGGCACGATGCCCTGGTGCACTGCACGTATCGGGCGTGATGGTGGGACATCCTTTCTCCCCCCAACAAGGGGAGCACCAGCGTGATCTCCTGCTGGCACAGGTCCTTCCTGGCTTCCCAGCTGGAAGCGCCTGATCCCAGATTTGACTACAGAGGAAAATTAGGAAGGAAATAAGAAGATGGGGAGCATTTGATACATCTTTGAGTTGCAAAATACCTTCTTCCTCGGAAAGCTTTTCTCCTAGTCTTGTAAGTTTGGCTCTCAGCTCCGAAACAGTGATAATGCCTCTCTTCTGCCTGTCTATCATGGACAAGGCCGTGAGGATTTCACTCTCGGGTTCCTCTTGCTTCATTTGCCTGTACATCATATTCAGGAAAGTGGAGAAATCCAGCTCTGCGTTTCTGTCTGGAAAAATAAGAGCAGATTCTTTAGGAATGGCTCAGTTTTGTAGTCTGGATCCAGACCTAAGCATCCTGCTCTGCTCCCCCCTAGTTCCCCTTCCTGGGGCACCTTTTCTTTTTTGCCTGACTCTGGTCTGGACCAGGGTGGACCACTGCTGGGGGCTCTCTCCTGGCCCGAAGACCCATTTATAGCTTTGCTAGACTTGTGCTCTGAAACCTCGTATCCAGAATTTTTAATCCAGCCCACTTTATCTCATGATTCTTCTTTGGTCTGGCTGTGCTTTGAATTTATTCATACATATCTGCAGATTAATATCTTTCTGTGCTCTTCTACCTCTGCTGGTTGGACTGGACGGTTTCCCAGCCTCAAAATCCGTAATCAATATGTATGCCTCCCGCTGCTATTGAAGCTTTTCTTTTTTAATGGCACTATTTTAATCTGTGTGCTGGATTGACTTTGTTCACTATCTAGCACATCAGACCAGGTTTTGGTGACTGCTCTTGGTTATGCTGCATTGCCTGGGCTGTTTCACCTGAGAGTGAGTATTACTTACTGGGCTCCAGGCAGCCTCCTTGTCTTTGCATGTAGTCTCCTGACCACAGAAAAGCTGAATTTCTCCAACTGTAATCCAGTGTGTTTTATTCACGTGCTACCGCTGCACTTTGCTTACCGATCTTGTGCAAGTGCAGGTGTCTCTGCACCTCTCCTGGTGTTGGGCTGGCTCCCAGGCACCGCATCACTGTCATCAGGTCGGAGGCTTTTATCTTGCCTTTTTGTTTCTTGTCGTACAGGGAAAAACATTCCTTGAACTCTAATTAAAAACCAAAACTCTGTTATGCCATGTAAGATTACATTGATCTACCAGTGATGTTTCTTCTCCCGTTGCCCGGTTGGGCGGTGTTGGTAGGGTTCCAGCGGGGATATTGTGTCTGGTTCGGGGTGTCTCGTTTCAAGGAAAGATGATGGACAGTGGGGGAGGACCCGGGGTAAAGTGCCAAGGGCAATTAAAGTCCAGGCTTGTGAATAGTTGAGCTAATTGGGGTCCTTCAGCCTAATTAAACAAGTCTGAAATTGGAGTCAGGCTTCCAAATATGTAGAATACTGTTAAAAAGTACTTTTCTCTGCCTTCATGGGCGGTAGGAGAGGATGCTAAAGGAATGAGCCTTAAGGAGCGATGGAGGATGCTGGTTTGGTCCCTGCCATGGTCTGTGCAGGGTCTGGCACTTGCCCCTGCCTCGGCCTGCCAGCGGCTGGATTTTAGTAAAAGACAAAAGAACTGATAATGTCGCATTTGACAGTCTAAGTGCTGCCAGCTGCCTGAGTCTAGCAGAGGAGAGCCTCTGCCTGTCCTGCTGCCATCCACTGCAGCGTCTCCCCTCCCTCGCTTCTCCTCGCAGTCCTCGCCTGCCTGCTCGCCCTCTACCCTTCCCCCTCAAACACTGGCTTTGCAGTTTTCAAATAAATAAATAAGGGTTGCAGCTGACCTAGATAAGGCTGCCATCTCTCATCCTCCCTTCCCATTCTGCTCCCAGCGCAGTGGCAGGCTCCGCTCTTTGTCACACTCAACGCTAATGGGCAAGTTGTGCTGCATAGGGACAGTCCTGTCTGCAGAGCAGCCCGGGAAATAAAAATCAGCCTATTTTGGTGTGATCATCCTCCACCCCCCTCCTCATCCTCTCTGTCCCTAGACCTTATTGCAGGCGTAAGTGCAGGGTGCCCCCATGGGTGCTGTGGCCTCCCCCTCCCCTGGCTGCCTCCTCCCCTGCAGCAGTCCTGCAGAGCTGCTGAGCCCAAGGGCACTGCAGATTAACAGATTTCCAATAATACTCTTATTTCAGCTTTCTTCTGCCGTTCTTGTAGCAAACCCTTCCTTGTTCCCATCTGAGGCAGGGGTCCCCTTTACCAGGGAGAGCCCCGGTGCCTCACAACGAGGATTTGTACCTCCTGCACCTTCTCCTTCTTCCTCTTCCTCCTTCACCTTCGCTCCCATCATACACGAAGCCTTGCCAGGCTCCAGTACTGCAAATTGTCACCTGAAATTTCTCCTGGTCCCTGCTAGCTCAGCCAGGGCTGTGTTTATGGGGCTGGGCAGTCGCTGCTTAACTGCCAGTCTTGGTGCGACCCAGTGTGTGGCTCTGCAGGTGGTTTTGGCTCCCTGCCGGTGCCTAGTGCTGTTTTAACGAAATCAGGGAGGTTTCTCTGCTTTCAGAGGGAGCAGATCCCCTTGAGAGCTGGGAGGAGGGCAAGTGGGGGAGCACAAGCCCAGACTGAGACCCTTTTGGGGGAAATGCTGTTAGCTATAAATTTGTTAAGCTGATCTTGCTAATAATAAGAAACAAAAAAAGAACAAAACTGTACATACCGTTAATTTGATCCTGAGACAGAAATTTTGCCTGTAGCATGAAGCGGGGAAGGAGAGAGACAAGAAAAATAATAAAGCAGCTTTAAAATCTGGATGGGGGGAGCAGGGGGAGCAGTTTTGTATCAGCCGAAACGCTTCACTCACCATTATTTTGGGGGCCCTCCTTGTGCTTTACGCTGGCTGTCGGGATCAGAGGTGTCTGCTGCTACTTTTTCTATTCGATTAAGGGCTAAAGTCCGCCAGCCCAGGGTGGAGTGCGGCCGGGCTGTAATAAATACCCCGCTGCTATGGCTACGAGACCTGATCCCTGCCGGGGCTGGATCCTGCTGCCAGCACGGCTCCTGTTCACGCGCTGTGGGCAGAAGGGCTCTCCCCAGCCTGCCTGAAGCCTTGGGACTCCGGACGGGACCCCATCAGCGATGCTGTCAGGAGGAGTTGGGGGAGAGCTTCCCTTGGTCAGGGTTTAAGGATGTTTGGGGTCGGATTGGATCGAGATGAGCTGGTTGAGCACAAAAGGTTTGACAATCTCAAATAGCTGCACACCTCGCACCAAGCTTAGCTGCTGGGAAACAAATACAGCCTTGATATCTACTGAGGCCACTGGGGAAGGGTGTTGGGGGGATTTACAGCTTTGCAGTTCACTGCTGGAGGGGCTTTGCTGGTGGGCAGGAGGAGTTAATTCGGGCTTTGCGTGTCCTGGCTGAGCTCGGTGCAGGGTGTTGGGCATCGCTGGCAATGTTGCTGTGCCCTGCTCGGTGGGTTTGCAGGGGAAGGGGGGTTTAGATGTGCCCGCTGCAAACATGGAGGAGCTGGGACATTGCAGACAGGCTGAGAGGAGAAGGCATTTTTGAGATGGTTTAAAAAGCTCCCCATTGCCTGAGTTTTTATTTATTAGCATTTATTTAGCTAATCTGCTTGGGAGCAAACAGCCTCCAGGACTGCCAAGTCTTGTTGCAGCCCTCGACAGGAACTCAGAAGAGCGATGCCGAGGAAATGATGCTGAGGGAGCAAGTATTATACATGCATCTACAATTTTGTCCCATCCTGTCTCCTACAAAAAGAGCTGAGCCAGCAGCTCAGCTGGGCGCTCCTGGGTGCGGGACAGGTGATGCTCTGCCTCTCCGGATCTGCCGGTGCTTGAAGTATCCCAAAAAGAAACTCAGCGGCTGTGCAGGCAGGGCTAGCACATGTGCGGGGGGACGAAGTACCTGATGCCAGGCTGTGGTGGAGATCCAGACCCAAGAACAAAATATTTAGTGGCCATAGTGACGACTATAGCATGGACCGGACCCTTCCCAGGGTAGACCCTGCTCTGTTACAATGACACGTTCAGGGTCCTTAAATCTCATGGCTTAAAGATTCTCCCTTCAAAGAACAGAGCTGCTTCAGGAAGCAACATGAGTCACTCAGCTTTTACCAAGTGTTTTTATTCAGTATGTTTCACTAATAGCTTTTTTTCTTCTCTCACTGGGATTCTGTCACACAGGACTCTAATACGAATTTTATAGAACATAGACCATCACAGGGATGCAGCTGGAGTTGCAGCTCAACTCCATCACCTGAAGCTGGAGAAGTGGTGAGCGGGAGCAGAAGCCACCGGTGGTGTAGACCCCACGCGAGTGGTGCCGAGGCTGGAGCTCACCCCCCCGATGCTTTTTTCAGGCTGCCTTCATGGGGAATTGGCCCTTCTGCCTCCTCCGCCAGCCAGGCCCTTCTTGCATCGCCCCTGCGCTCAGCAGCAAGGGCTTAAACCCAGTGCTGATGGCCGGGACCCTGGGAGGGCTCCCCGGGGAGGCATGGCCGAGCAGAGCCATCGAGCAGATAAAGGTAGGGCGTGTTTCATCAGCTGGGAGGAATGGATACATCTCTCTCTGCCAAGACACAGGGCGGGCGAGAGTGCTTCGACTTCCTGGCAAACTGCTCCCGCTAAAGGCTGGGATGCTCTCTGGGGCGGTGATGGTGGTGTGTGGATTCACCAGTGGCAGGGACCACTGTGGGGCTGGGATGCTGCGCCCCTGCTCCGATACGGGAGGGAGTTGGTGCTGTCCCCGTAAGCACCCAAAAAAGTCCAGTGTGGAACTGCGTTGTGCAATTGCGAGGGTGGGCCGGTGCAAAGCCAGGGGAGACACCCCTGCCACGACCCTGGCTTTAAAGTGTTAAGTCACAAAGACTATGTTTCCCTTTTGTTCGAACACCCCCTCCCTAGCTAGGTCTAGTTAACATACGATAAGTCTTCCAGCTAATATTGGTCAGGAATTTATTTGAAATACATCTACATTAGAAAAACTAGATTTTTTTTTCCTTCAAATCACTCTAAAATATCAAAACCTATAAACTTTCTTTTGCTGCATGGAGGTTGTTCATGTGCAGGGTGTAAAATGCCCACGGCTCGGGGATATAGATCACACCAGGGTACTTCTTCCTGAGAATTTTGTCATCCCACAGCCAAACCACCCAAACAGCAATGAGGACCAGCGTTATGATGAAGGAGTAGAAGAGAAAAAGCCCATTGCTGTCCAGGACCAGTCCTTTGCGTTTCTGGTGCATCACTAAAGCCATCATGGCAAAGAAAGTGAAAATGTAGAGGATGAAAATCTGACCCTCCGTCACGAGATACCTACAAAGCAAAAACACCCGTTAGTGCCCCCCAGGAGAAAGCACTGAGCAACCCCCAGCACTTCCAGCTTTACCTGGGGTGAACGTCTCCCCCTTCTCCTGCTCTACATCCAGACAAACGAAGTTGTGCTGCTTTCTACTGCCAGCTTTTAAGCTGTGATTTGTTTTCATGTTTCTTATCAGTAATTTAACAACTGAGCTATAGGCTTCATTAAGAGAACGGGTAAAGAAATGTGTGCCCAGTATGGGATATCAAAGGTGCTGGGCTCGGTTTGTGAATGGGATGCTTAAAGGCAGAACCAAAGCCAGACTCTGGCTCCCACCTGTGGATGTTGTGCTCATTTAGTCCAAAAATCCACTGTGCTGTGTCTGGCAGTGGCCAGCCCTGAATGGGTGTTAGCTGGGGGAAGGAGAAATTACACTCCCTGGTTCTTAAATCGCTAGCACATGAACTGCAGAGATTCACACTGATATATTTAAAGGAAGTGCAGTGGGGTAACTGGGAACTGACCAAATCTTCCTGATGATTTTGACTATCAAAAATTAATTTACTGTATAAAAACAGTCTCAGCAGGGGGCAAAGCCACGGGCAAGAGAACATCATCTCTGAAGATGAATGAAAAGTTGTTTGGCTGCCATCAGGGAAACCATTTGGGAAGATGAGGCTAATGAAAATGGGAAATAAATAAGACCTCTCTCAAAAGGCTATTTGGACCCACAGGGCGAGCTGAGGAGGCAGCATCTGAGCATCACAAAGGCAGCCTGGATGTGTAAAATCCCTGGACAACTGGTGAGAGCATCCCTATTGCCACCAACAACCTGAGAGCAGGGGGATGCGCTGCAGGCACCGGGTGACCATCCCAAAATCGTCGAGGAACTGTCTAACAGCGCAGTGAACGGCAGCCTTTGAAGGGGGGCAGACAGCAAGTACCACGGAGGCTGGAAGCTGGAGCTCCAGCAATAACGGTATGACTGACAGTGTGGTTGAAGAAACACCCCAAGCAGGGGCAGGAGTGCTGATGAGTGACCCTGAAGTTGTCCCAACTTGCAAAGGCTAAAGCAGCTGCAAATTTCAACCAGATTTGATTTGATTTTCCAGACCTGCAGAGCAGAAGCTGCAAGTTCTGCCCTGGGGAATGGAGAGCTGCTGCCTGCGGTACTCCCTAGGGTTGCCTGTGACACTCCCTCTTCGTCCCTCGCCCACCCAGAGCAGACAGAAGCCACTTACCAGTAATAAAGGCTACTGGGCCCCATCAGAAGCAAGGCAGGCACTGGCATCCTGCTCTCCTCTTCAACAGGCGTGAAGCAGCCGGTGAAATATATAAACAGTATCAGGAAAAAAGGGATGTACCTGCAAACAGGAACAACACACTGATCGGTGATGTGACCTTGGAAAGTGTTTAAACCCCCGCCAAATCCAAGCCATGCACATAGGCCATTCCTATGCTGAGCCCGTGAATTAATTTGGTGAAAGAGCAGAAGCGGAGGCCACCCAGCCTGCTCCGGCCACACGTACTCGGGCAGGTGAAGCAGTGGGTAACTGGGATACAGAGTCCTGCTCCGTGGGGTCCCTCGGTGCTAGTCAGGGCATCGCCTCTCTGCCAGCGTCACAGCTCTTGCTACGAGATTACCGCTGTGTCCATATGGCAGATGAAGGGCTGGCGGTGCCTGGTGCAGGGCTATTGTATGTCCTGGCTGCACCGAGTGCTCCTGCAGATAATGAGACTTCTGGGGCTCTCGCAGGAAAAGCCCAAGTTCGCTGATTAGGTCAAACGCTGGGCTCAAGTGCTTCGTCAAACAATTGCATTTGTTACACTCCCAGACTCTAAGAGGCTGTTTAAGAGCGTTGTGTTGTGTTCAAAGCTGAACTGCAGGAAAGCAGGATGTGGACCAGGATTTCAACAACCTAACAGAGCCCTTTTTTATTTAAAAGAATAGGATTTGCTTGCTTCAGAGCACTCAAGGAACAGCAAATAAACCGGGAAAGCCTGATGGGGGAGAGATTTCTGTCCACGCTCAGAGAGGTCTCAGGATTATCTGGCAGCGGATAAAGGGCCAGACGGTCCTTTCTGGGGTCATTGGCGCAGGCAGAGCAGCAGGACACGTCTGCAGCACTGGGTGCTGCTCACGCGTGTGCGAGGGTGCAGATGAGACCTGCCGCAGCCTGCGGGCACTACCAACATTACCTGCCCCTGGGTCAGCAAGTGCAGCCACGCTGGATGAAGCACACTATCCAGCTGGAACAAGCATTTCTAGGGTCAGCTTGGGGTGATGACAGCGCTGAAATCAGACCCTAACAGAGCTCCCTGGACCACCGTGACCAAATGTCTCTGTTACTGGGTGGCACTGATGTGGCTACGCAAGCAAAACTTCCCTCTCACCGGGGGGTGTGTGTCACTAAACAGATGCACAGTAAAGGAGGGGAGTGAGCAAAGGGCTAGAGAGACCAGGCAGAGTCAGGTTGTTTCGGGGTCAACTTCCAGAGGAGCAAAAATGTGGGTGGTGACAGCCAAGGAGTCTGCGGAGCCCCTAGACCTACGCTGTAACTTGTTTCTTCACCTGGGTATCCTGTGGAAGGTGGCCGAGCTGTTCCTCTGGCCCCGACAGCTGTCAAACAACTGTCACATCCTAGAAATATCACTGAGAGACAAAACTAGGGGGAACGGGTGATTTTCCAAGGAAGAGATCCACTGTAATCACACTGGCTGTGAGAACATTATCCCCGGCCAGCTCTCATCAGCTGCGTTTTATTTTTTTACATATTAAGCTATCATGAGATCAGATCTGCCCTTCCTTGCATTACGTTCTGAGGCCGCTAGATAGACTGTAAATTGCTTACCACATTGAATGACCTAAATATTCATCGTAGTAGTACAGCAGCTCAAAGGAATCAATCTGCAATGCAACGAAAAGAGATTTAAAAGGGCAGAGGAAACAGGATGCTATTAAATAAGAATAAGCAATTAATTATTTTTTTTAAGTGCTTGTATAAAACACAGCCTCTTTACCAGTGTCTCTGGCTTCAGGTTCTTGATGATGGGATTCTCTCTTACAGACAGATGGTGCTGGTAGCCACTGAAAATCAGGCGATGGTTTACAGAGTCTCCGACCAAGTGGATGCTGGCTCCCATGACAAACATGATGATGCTGACGTAGACCATTGATCTCGGTAAGGTCTTGGGGGATCTCTCGATGAGCTAAAAACACAGAAACATGTTGAACAGCGAGGAGGTACCAGCAGAGACATGCGACAAGTTCTGCCCTCTCTGACTTTACGGTGCTTTGCAAAAATCATCTAAACCCGAGCAGGGGCTTGCAGAAAGCTGCAGGTTGTGCTGCCGTAGCGGGTGTGAGCTGCTGCCTGCGATGGCTGGCACCCTGCCAGGGAAAACAGGCATCCCCCTGGCGAAAGCGGTGCGACTGCACCAGAACAAACTTCCCTGATTGCAGCTGCTTTCCTAAACGCATCCCAGACACGTTTCCACTAGCCTATGTGGCTTTCAGGTTTGAGTACACACTTTATCCCTGTTTACAACAATAAAACCACATTTTTTGCCCTTGTTAAACCTTTCTGCAAAGCAGCACCCTTAACCTGAGTCAATGCTTAGACCGAATCAGTGATCACTGTACTTCCAATACAGTACTCAAAGCAATTTCTTCACCAGATGTGATCAAAACCGATTAATGAGTAACAAAAAGGCAGCTGCTTTCTCTAGTTCCTCTGCTGAGCGGATCTGCAAGGCTGGCTGTGCCCTCCAGTGGCAGGGAGAGCCTCCAGCAGCACTCCAGCTGAGCATACGCACTTCACTCCCCTGACTAAGAGACACTTGCTCCTTTATAATTCTCCGCTGGATGATTTTCGGAGGACTCTTGTTGAACTGTTTGGGTTTTTTTTTTTTTCTTTCTTCCTAATGGACTCGGACTCACCTCTCTCTCTATTTGCTTCTGAAGAGGAAGCTGCATTTAAACCCGTATCTAGAAATACCTAATTACCAGCAAAACCGGTTGAGGCAACCTTTTGAACACCAGCTTTAGTGATGAGCTCTCCCTGTACCATCTCGTGGTCTGCTTAGGTCTGGGTGGAGGCAGGCACGTGAGGCTGGCGGGGAGCCTGGTGCTTCTCTCCAGAAAGGAGGTCCCCGCTCAGCTTGCAAAGCGGGGAAGACCTTGAAAGACGTAAATCCTAGCTCAAGCTGTTCAGGCTTTGGGTGGGACGCCAGGCTGGCCTCAGGAACGATGGGTCAGGGGGGGACGCATCAGCCCAGCCCAAGGATCAGCTGGGGCCACCTCTGCCTCCCATCTCCCTGCTGCCAAATCAGCTTTGCAGCCCTTCACAAACAATGAAAAGCTTCTTATTTGTATTTAATTTTGAGGCTTAACTTTCCCTTTCTCTGTAACTGCTGTATGAACGTCAGAGGAGTCAGAGAGGACGAGGAGAGCAAAAGGTCCAGGAAAACTCTTGTCTGATGGAAAAGGACGGTGGGACGTGTCCTTCGAGGGAACACTGGGCAAAAGAAATGTACCCTGAATAACAAATGCATTTTTTCTGTGCTGCCAGGGAGGTCCAAGACAGCAAATTTTCATCTGATGAGTACCCAGCCTACAGAAATCAGCTGTGTCAGACTGTGGTGGGTCAGACCGAACTTCAGAGCTTTCATATCCCCCAAAGGACCGGATCCCGAATATTCCTTTTTGGCCACACCGGCATTTAAAATCTCCCAGACAGACTCATTAGAGAGGGAATCATTTACATAATTCAATTTCTAGCTAATGAAGGTTAAAATATATTTATAATTGCTTTCTTGTATCTTCTGGCTGCTAAGTATTTAATATAAGAAGATTTCTAATGATACAACAGTCTTTAACCTCATAAATGGTTTACACGATCCAGTGGCTGGCAGTTGAAGCAAGATAAATTCAAGCTAAAGATACAATTCTAATGTCGAAGAGCAAATGTAATTAAGCTCTGAACAATTTAGAAAATCTGCTGTAGCTCCAGCTGTCTCATAAGGTCTTTTAAGTCACGGACGGATGTTGTCTTAAAAATACGCTTTGGCTCAGCCAGGGAGAAGGGCTCTGACTCCTCCTGAATCTGGAGTTCCCAGGGGAAGCCATTTGCTTTGTATATGCAGGAAATTGAGTTGTATTAAGATAGTCACTGCCTTGCTCTTTAGAAGGTGGCATCACAAATTCTTTCTGGAGGGGCAAACCTCTAACGTACAGTAGGGCCGGCTCACTTGCAGGAGTTTGTGAATAACCAACATTTGTTCAACAAGTTCCTAACAAACTCTTAGCCTTTACAAAACATTGTTTGCCCTTTTTTTACAACCGGTAATATTAAAAAAAGTGTAACACCTGCACCCCAAGGTTTACCTTTAGCAGAAGAAATGGTGTGATAACATTGTAAGCCATGTGGAAATAATCTCCAGCACTCGGTTTGTTTAGAGGAAACCACTCCAAAGGTAGGATTATCTGAGGAGGGGGGAAAAAGGCACATCAGTATATCCTCGCCACCCAGCTCACGCTTACAGCCCTGTCACTGGCTGAAAGACAGGGAGAGAGAAAATCCTTGCTTTGGACTGCTGCTGCTTGCTAATTGTCAGCTTGACTTCATGTAGCTGTTAGTAACGAAGTTGGGCAGCTCTTCTTGCAGTAAGCATCCCTAAAAGTGCAATCTGGAAGCGGGTGCTAAACGCACAGCGTATTTACATCTCAGCTGTTCAACTCCTGCAGTGCTGCCCAAAGCCGATGCTGTGAAGTTGTGTGGCCAAGCGAGCGAGAAAGGCATTCGGGAGTCCTGCAGCAGTAGATCTCCGTGAACGCTCTGCCCTGTGCAGATGCCAGCAGTAAAAAAATTACTTTTGAGGGTAATGGCCACTTCTGCCCTGCATTATTTGGAGAGCAGAAGTCCCAAGCTCCAGAGATACAGGCAAGGTATGGGGAAGGGCAGTAGGAACCTCTCCAGATAACTTTTGTTATGAAAACATAAAGTTGTGGGATAGATGACATGGAACAAGTTTCCCAGATACCTTCCCCGTGACTGGAGCAACACGCTTGGTACCAGTTACTCACACAAGTACATCGCAGCGGTTCTCATTGCAGGGACAGCTCCTCAAGGGCGTCCCTTTGGTGTAGAAAACAGCCCATGGGTCTACAGAGGACCACAACAGCTCTGCCCCCCTGTCCTCCACCCTAAATAAGCCGACTGCAGGCAAAGCAGCAGGCCTGCCTCTGCCACACTCACCATTGCAATGGGACGCCCAAAGTCCAGCACCCAGTTCTGCAGTGTGAAGTAGAACCACAGATCAAAATGAAACGGGGAGGTCTTGAAGGTGTCCTCGTTCTTGACCGCTCCATGCCTAGAGATGACAGAAGTGACAGTGTCAGCCTTAAGTCGTATAACAGGTTTCCGAGGAGGCAGGGAGCAGACTCCAGGTCTGCATCCCCACCCAAAACCTGTGCTTCCCTGGCTGCTGGCATGTCTCTGAGCTTTGGGGTCTGTGGAATAACAACAAAGTTGAGAGGCCAAAGAGAGGAGGCGGCAGTACTGAAAGGCAAAGCGCTGTTAATAAAAACTGGCACATCCCCATAAGAAGGCTCTTCCTGGCCGAGAAGTAAGCACAAAAGCAGGATGAAATGCTTAAGTGCTGAATTAAGTGCAACTATTTTTAACTTTTGCATGACAAAGCAAAATTCAACTCCCATGGCACTTCTGAATGCTAAAAATGCATCGATGCCTGGTGGTACTCAAGCACAGGGATGCTCTGGACGCACTATCACCTTCATCTTCCACTCTGAAGACCCTCCTCCTCTGCCCCTGCGGAGCAAGGCCTGATCCAACCCGGCCGAAGTCTTTGCAACAAATAACCCTGCAGCACCACCGGACCTTCACCTCCCTGTGGGAAAAGTGGATGAATGGCTCTCCTGTGGTGCCGAGACCAGAATGGCGTCAGCCGGATCAGCCATGAGCTTGCACTACCTGAGCCCACAGTCCAAACCCGATGGATGGAGGAAGAGGATGGTGGTACCCTGGGCAAGTCGGGGTGCCCTGGATGAGCCCGGAGAGCTGCGGCTCCCTGGAAGAGGCTGTCAAACCCTGAACCAGCTGGGGTAACCCAGGATGCCCTGGACAAGGCTGTGGTGCCGTGGCCAAGCAGGGGAACCCTACAGGAGGCTGGGGGACCCCAACCCTCCGGGATACCCTGGACAACCGCAGCATGCTGGATGGGGTGGGGTACCCCGGATGGGGCTGGGGGGCAC